ATATTATCATATAATATATAATTTTAGTGGATTCTTATTATAGATAAGTACCATGGACCAATTTGAGGTTATGTAATTCATAAACGGTACAAATGGCTGTAAAATAGTCTAGGAAAGCCCTATTTAATGATATAGATATCCCTCAATATGATACTCATTTCTTTTCCGTTTCATAAAAGCAAAACCTAGCCTGTAAGTATCTGACGGTCTATAAAAATCGAAAGACACCTCATTAATTAAAACACGGGCCCCTTTGTTGCAACTTAGATATCTATTGATGCTATAGCACGATCGGGTGTACCTACCTACAAAGATAAGTAGAAAATGGAAACTGTGGTAAAATAGTAAGTAAAAACTAAAAAAACTCATCATAATGACCACTAAATTCGAGATCTCGCTCTATTAACTTAAACGCTCTATGACTCTCTCTTTTTCGTAAATATCACTGTTGAAATTAAGCAAATACGTGTTTTGGAAATTTTTAAAAATCAACTCTTAAGGATGAAATGTTGTTGCTATGTTTGTATTTGAAATCTAAGATGGCGACATTACATAAAATAAAAACGTTGTAAGGGTGAATTGGGATTTAAAAGGTTTTATGGAGAAACAATATTAATTTCTGCTAGCGAAGCCGCGGGGAAAAGCTAGTAATAAATAATATAGATATACTTCCACGTCATCATGATGACCTTATGACGATAATGATACTTCCACGTCAGTTAGTTATTTAATTGTTGCCGATTTTGGTGCTACATAACTCATAATAAAAGAATTTGTATTGCTATTGCATTATTCACTATTCCTAGACATTTAAAAAACCTTTAACAAGTGGTGACCTTTGTATTAACTGGCAATTTTGAATCAAATTCACCAGTGAGTATTCGAAAGAGCCGTGCACTCTTAGGCGACTTTGCCCTATATTTTTTTTAATAAATTTAGGTAAACGCAACATTCAGAATTGTATAATATTGATTTTATATTGGAAAAGGTGACAGCACGACGAGAAATTTAAATATCTGATGGAAGGCAGTTTGTTTACTATGCCAATCGAATTTGAACTTGTTATTGTTATTTCTAGTAACGGGAACATTCACGAAGGGTAATTTACCATTGTTTTCCAATTCAGACGAGATGTGAATTTCAGTGCAAGATGGAAAGAATAAAGAACTTAGTTAGTATAGTTCTCCAGGTCTGCAGGCACCTTGCTGATTTCTACAAGTTTTTGAAAGCATTGTTACTATAGGGTTGTTCGGAAAATCATTTCGTTTTTTCCCGACAGAGGATTTAATTTTATTCTTTTGCACCCAACTTCACATTTAAGCCGTATAATTTTTATATGCTTTGAGAGCTCATATAGCAAGGCTTGTGTGTGAAAAATTCCAATTAATTCTACGCAGTAGTTTTTGGTTGGTGCCCTTTTAAATATGGAGAGCGATAAGCAGCATTTTCGACATATCTTACTGTTTTACTACAGAAAGGGTAAAAATGCTGTTCAAGCCAGAAAGAAATTGACTGATGTGTATGGAGAAGGTGTGTTGACAGTACGCCAGTGCCAGAACTGGTTCGCTAAATTTCGATCCGGCAATTTTGATGTCGAAGATGCACCACGTTCGGGAAGGCCGGTTGAAGCTGATAAAGACGCGATAAAGGCATTAGTTGATGTGAACCGGCGAATAACAACACGTGAGATCGGATTGAGGTTAAATTTATCAAATTCAACAGTTTATGACCACTTGAAAGGCCTGGGATTATCCTCGAAGCTCGATGTATGGGTTCCCCATGTTCTCACAGAGAGAAATCTGTGTCGCCGCATTGACGTCTGCGATTCGCTTCTCAAACGTCACGAAAATGATCCGTTTTTGAAGCGCATCATCACTGGGGACGAAAAATGGGTTGTATACAACAACGTCAAACGCAAGAGGTCATGGAGCAAAAAAGATGAACCGGCTCAAACCATTTCCAAAGCCGATATTCACCAAAAAAAGGTGATGCTGTCTGTTTGGTGGGATTTTAAAGGAATCGTTTTTTTTGAGCTTTTACCGGATAACACAACGATTAATTCGGAAGTCTACTGTCATCAGCTGGACAAACTGAATGATGCACTTCAACAGAAAAGGTCAGAACTAATCAACAGGAAAGGTGTAGTGTTTCACCAAGACAACGCGAGACCTCACACAAGTTTGGTCACTCGCCAAAAGCTTTTACAGCTTGAATGGGATACAATGCTACACCCACCATATTCTCCAGACCTGGCACCATCGGATTATTATTTGTTCCGGTCACTCCAAAATTTTTTAGACGGTAAAACCTTCACCTCAAATGAGGAGGTCAAAAACCTCCTCGATCAGTTTTTTGCCAGCAAAGACCAAAAATTTTATGAGCGTGGAATTATGCTACTACCAGAAAGATGGCAAAAGGTGTTGGACCAGAACGGTCAATATATAATTTAATAAAGTATTTGTTTATTATACGAAAACTGCCTTTCATTTCCACAAAAAAAAACGAAATGACTTTCCGAACAACCCTATACAAACTTCCTCACTCGAATTTTCTAAATACAATCACACTTTTTAATTTTTGTTTTGAAAGAAAATATTTATTCGTGTATTGTTGTTGTTAAACCAAAATTTAAGACCTAGATGAAGTACCAGAATCAACAAAAAAATACCATCATTACAAAAGCCAGCAAGATAGCATCAATTGATATCTATACACACCCACCTCCCGTTAAAAAAAAAAAAAAATAAATGCAAAGTATCACTACTAGCTCGAGGAGTCGGATATCTGGAATGCTACCAGAAATGTACCTGCAATTATTGAAAGATTAAGTACCGAATAGCATGAAACAAAAATTCCAAGTTACATACCTGATCTAGATGATATATTATCTATGCATAATTTTGGATTTCTTATTTTAACAATTAACACACGTGATGATGTTTAAGTTAAGTTTAATTAAAATATAAAAAATAAAAGTACAAAAAGAAAAGATGTGTCGCAGACAAAGGAAACTTGATGACTACATAAATGAAACAAACTTAAGCCTGCAGAAATTATCCCCCGATTTATCCCTTAACCAATTGAATTTAAACTTATCCTAACCGAAACATTCAGATAGTCCAATAACAACAAATGTAATAATAATGACTCTAAAGGCTCTGCATGTTTGCATGTATGTAATGTGATCCTTTCGTGATCATTCTAATTATTTACTAATCCAGTCTTTGAATTGTCCTTTAAATAAAAGACTAGAGTGATAGACTAGATCTGAATGACGCCAAACTCGGGATACGACCACCCTCAAAACATATGGGAACGAACTGACCCATGACTACATCTAAACTACAAAGTTACGATTATCAAAGATATTTACATATACACAAAAACTCAATGCATAATATAAGGAGACATATACCTACTAAAATACATCAACAAAACATTAACTTCATAGTAGAAGAAGAAATAAAATAACAAACCATTCACGAAGTCAAAAACCAAATGGAAAATAAAACATACAGAAAACGAATTGTAACAAATACAATCATCCACGCAGTATTAAACCATCTGAAGC